TGTCTTCCACTTTTAAAGCTGACGCACAAATATCTCTAAAAAATTGACTAATTTCAGTTAGTGGGTCAAGAACATGTTTGGGTAGCGATCCAAATGCAATTGGTAGCAACTGTTCCATAAAAATGTGACAATCATGACTTTTCATACCATGTAATTTTCCAGTGTTAGGGTCAGCACACCTTGCTAAATTTAATGAATACCCATCGGGCATTCTCAATTCTTTTAACCATCTACAAACCGCTTTAGCTTCTTGGGAAGTCAGACTGAAACAAGCCTTGGGTTTTAATAATTTTCCATTTGGTTGAGGCTTCAACTCCAACTCTCTTCGATTACACCAAATTCCCATGTCTTGTCTGGCCTTCTCATTATCTTTTGTTTTTCCTGTCACATCCATCACTGTGTTAAATACATTATCAAAAAAATTCTTCTCAATATGCATAACATCAAGATTATGGCGCAACAAATTATCTTTCCAATACGGAAGATCCCAAAATATACTTCTTTTTGTCCAATTGTGGGTGACGCCGTATCCTTCAATTCGGCATGCTTTCCCAGTATCTGTAAATTTTGGTAGTTCACATACTTGGTTCCATATAACCCCTGGTGGCAATCGAGGCGGAGGCAAATCTTTCTCTCGTACATCTTTTTTAAAATTTGTCTTGTTTCTTCTATACAGGTGATTTGCTGGTAGGAATCTGCGGTGACAGTCAAACCATGAGCTTTTCCCACCTTTATCCAACGTAAATGCTTTGGTGTATCCCATGCAATGCGGACAACCCATTTTTCCATGCGTACCCCAACCAGACAACATGCCATATGCTGGAAAGTCATTAACGGTCCACATCAAGGCAGCTCGTAATGTGAAGTTCTGTTTACGGGATATATCATAAGTCCATTCTCCAATCCACATCTTCTTCAAATCATCAATTAAAGGTTGTAAGTACACATCAATTCCGGCTTTTGGACTGTGCGGGCCTGGAATAACACACGTCAAAAACATGTATGGTTTTGTCATGCACATCTCAGGAGGGAGGTTGTAAGGTGTTACAATAACTGGCCAACAAGAGTACGCACTTCCTGACGCTTGCACGTATGGGGCAAATCCATCAGAGCATAATCCAAGCCTGACATTTCTAGGTTCTGCAGCAAAATCTGGATGTGTCCGATCAAAGTGCTTCCATGCCTCACCATCAGATGGATGTCGCATAGTGCCAGAACTTGTTTGGTTTGTATGATGCCATGTCATTTGACTTGCACTGTGCATTGAAGCAAACATTATTTTTAACCTTGGTATTATAGGAAGATAAAACATGGATTTTACTGCTACACGCTTTTGCTTGCTGTTAACGGCTCTACTGCGAACTTGATATCTTGGACTATTACAAAACTTACACTCCTCTAACGATCCATCTTGAGTACCAAACTCATTGTCATAAAACAACATGCAACCGTTAATGCAACAGTCAATCTTTCTTACTTTTAAACCCAACTTCGACACCCACTTCTTTGCATCATAATAACTTGTAGGCAAATTGTCTTTCGTAGCGGTGGAGTCCAACATCATTTTTGCAAAATGTTCCAAACATTGATCAGAAACATTCCAATTTGACTTGGCAGCCAATAATCTCACACACATTGATAGCTTCGAGTCTGACGACCCCTCAAACAACGGCGTATTCATCTCGTTCAATAATTGATAAAATCTTTGCGCTTCCTCATTCGGCAACTCTTCCCCGTCAAAATCTTCAGGTTCATCATATGTCACGTTCACACCAAAAGCATCCTCAACCATGTCACCGATCAAATTAAAGTTCTCCTCATACTCCATAACCGGTCGACTACTTGAAGCATGCATGTTGCTAGTCTCTGGTACATTAACCGGTAGTTCTTCACCATTATACGTCCAAACCCAATAATTTTCAATGAATCCCCTTCTATGCAGATGACGTGTTACTTCCTCTGGGTCACTAATTATTGGTCTACATTCACACTTAAGACAGGGACATCTAACCCCTCCTTCGCTTCGACAACAATCCTGAGCAAACGCCCACTTAATAAACCCATCAACTCCTACTATAAAATTGGGTTTAAGTCCACTTCTTCCTGGATATGTTCTATCGTACATCCAACTGCGATAATACCGATAATATTCCATACTGCACATTTATACAATCATTGTCTTTTTCATTAGAAATATTCTTAAACTATTTAATACTATTCTTAGAAATATAAATTTTGCTTTTTTATATATATACTAACATATAAATAAATATTCAAATGTAAAATATATAATTTTTTATTACATAACAATAATATCAAAAAACAATAATATAACATATTTACTTTTTATTATATATACAACAATAATATTAGAAAACAAATAATGTAAGATACATACTATTTATTATTATATATATAACAATAATATTAAAATAATAATATAATATATATATTCTTTTTTTAATTATGTTTTTTATAAATTGTTATTCTAATATATAATTTTTTTTCCATATCTTTAACATATAAATAAAAAAATAAAACTATTATAATAAATACAATATACATCTATAAAAAACATGTTATTAAATATGTTATTAAATTTATGTTTTCTAAAATTTTTTAAAAAATATATTAAATATGTTATTAAAAAATATGCAAATTACATATACAAATATACTACTAAAAAATATATAAATCACATATGCAAAAAATATGCAAATTACATATACAAATTACATATGCAAAAAATATATTAAATATGTTATTAAATATGTTTTTAAATTTTTTTTTATTATCAGTAATTTTATACTACTAACAGTATATACATATATTCCTAACCACAAAATACATATACAAATCTAATCTATATAATACATATAAAATCTAAAAAAAAATGCATAAATACCTCTATATAATTTCTTCAATAAATTTGCGTCTTCTAGTTTTTGGTGTTCTTCAAATTTCTCTACAAATAATAACGAACAATCGAACAAATACCATGTTAATTAAATACTTCATTCCAGTATAAAAACTAAAGAACAAACGAAATAAACATTTAACATCATATGCATACCTTAGATTTCTTCAACAAATTGGAATGGAAGAAAATTAATTCGCGAAATTGGGTTTGAGAGGAACAATTTTGAGTTTGTGAGAGTTGCTGTAATGTTTGATAGCAAGCAAGCAAAGGAAGAAGAAGAAGCACGCTACTGTAAATCAAAACGTTAACATATGTAACTTCTAGTAGCGACGTGACTGTCACGTCGCAACGTTGCCACGTGATAATCACGTCGCTACAAACTAATCATAAATACTATTCTCTCTCCAACACTGCGCAGCGAAATTATTTTTCCCCCCAAAAATTTAGCGACGTGGCTATCACGTCGCTACAAAATTTCAAACTTCCCTCTGAAAAACGTTCACCAATTTCCATTAAATGTCATTAAAATATATTAGCGACGTGGTTATCACGTCGCTACTACCCACGTGATAAGCACGTCGCTAATATATGTCGCTGGGGACATATATTTTTGTAGTGGTTATTGTATCACTGTATTATTATTTTATTTTGACCAAATACAAATGCATTTTTTTATTTGCATGTTTTAAATTTATGGTTGTTTATGTTTTTGGTCTTCAATATTATTTTAATTCATATAAATATTTCGATAGATAATAAATTTTAAATTTTTATTTAAATAGACAATATTTTAAAACCAAAGATTCACGATATTATTATCTATTTAGGTTATAGTACGTTCAAATATAATAAAATATAGTAACAATAGTTAATATTTTTTAAAGTATAATTTATAAGATGATTATTATCTATTTAAAGTTGAAATTTACATATGATTTAGGATGACTTTACTTCATTTCAAATAAATAAAAAGATTGAAATAATTACCGAAAAATTTATTAAGATAATTTTAATTTAATTTATTATTTATTTAGGGTTATTATATTTTATTATATTTAAGGGTGATAAAATGGATCCAGTCTATTGGACATGCATGTTATACCCACATTTTAGTGTGAGACGAGTCAAGAATTTATGTACTCACTCTCTAATGTGACCGTTCCGCTGTGCCCCATTTTCTTCACGGGCTTTTGCGGACTTGATTATTAACATAAAATTTTGTATTTTTAAGTCTAAAAGGTACAGTGTCCGCGGGCATTCCCCGTCCCGCACTCATTTTTTTTTATAAAACTAGCTTAAGTTTTAGGTCTTCATCCTCAACTATGTCAGTTCTGCTCCGCCTCGTTTTTTTGTGAACTTTTGCGAGACGGACATAAACAGAGCAGACATGTCCGTTTGCCACCCCTATTTATATTTGAACGTATCATAAACCTAAATAGACAATAATTGATTATATAAATATTTTAAAAACAAGAAAATTTATATTGTTGATACAAATATTTTTATAAACGGAAAAAGTATATTGTTAATTCAAATATTTTTATAAACGGAAAAAAATTACAAATATTTTATAAACAGAAAAAAGAGTATTAAATTACAAATATTTTTATAAAAAAAAAATCTATTGTTGAAAAAAATTCAAACAATTACCATTGTTAAAACTTGAACGATGAACCAAGAACCCTCTTAATCCAACTAGCAAATGTTAGCCGAACTACTCGACTCACCCGTAAACAAAAAGAAATAAGTTACAAATATTTTTTATAAACTTGATGAGTATATTGTCCATACAATTATTTTTATAAATAAAAATAAATTTTATATATTTTAGAATAAAGAAAAATTTATTAATACAAATTTTTTTATAAATGAAAATAAATTACAAACATTTTTATAAACATATGAATTTTAAACCCTTATAGTGTATTAAATAAATTTATTATTTTTATAAATATTTAAAAATACTATTTACATCAAAGAATAACTTTGATAATCCGTGGCACATCGAACAGTGTCGGATGAGGCACTAAAGCCCTTCGCTGTTCCGCCACTAGAAATTTGCCCAGAACCAAATGCAAGCATGGCAACGGTGTCGTTTACTCTCAATCTCTGTCGCTTTGGCCGAAATTTATGCAACACGCTCTACCCTACTTCCTCTCTCACTCTCTTAAACCCTCCTATCGTCAAATTCCGACGCAAAATTCGCCGCAGAATCTCCTTCTCCGTTTCCACTTTCTCCCGTCGATTTTCCACCGTCGCAGCCACTTCCTCCTCCCGCGGTATGAGAATTTCGTTTTTAACAACTGTTTCTCAAAACTGAACTTGTTTACTTATTTGTGTGCAGATTATGAATTTGGAACGGCAGACGAAAAATATGATGTCATTGTAGTTGGAGGAGGACACGCTGGGTGCGAAGCTGCTCTTGCTTCTGCGCGTTTGGGTGCAAGAACTCTTCTTCTTACTCTTAATATTGACCGGATTGCGTGGCAGGTTTGACCTAATTTATACTTGTTACCAATATTGCAGCATGCGTTTTTCTTTTTTGTTATATCGAGTTTTTGTAATTTGAAATACTGCGTTGTTGCAGAATTGAATATATGACAAGTTGAGTGTGTTTTTTTTTCTTCCATTTCTTTTTAATTAAATTTTTGGATTCTTGAAAGAAAACTATCCTTGTTTGCCATTGGTTATACACATGATGCGTGATGCGTGATGCGTGGTTTTATCTTAATGAGACTGAGTTTTGGTGCAGCCTTGCAATCCAGCAGTTGGTGCGCCTGCAAAGTCACAGCTTGTTCATGAAGTGGACGCACTTGGTGGCGAAATTGGGAAAATTGCTGATAGGTAATGTGGAATACTCGTGCTTATTTATTTTTCGTTCTCTAGCATCTTGATTCCTTGAGCTTGTCTACATGCAGTTTTTATATGACCATTATTTACTTTTCTTTTCTGTTAGAGGTCTCCCTTGAAGTATTATAGTTTATATATTTTGACAAGTATTGATTTTGCGGAAAACAAAAGCTTTACAACATTATTACTATAATATTATTGTATAAATCTAGGACACGAGCCCAGTTTCCCACTAGCTCGAAATTATGCTTTGAAGTAAGTTATTGGTAAATAATCTATCCTCATTCACGGTAGGCTGTGGTAAAATTTTAAACAAAAGATTTGAAGGTAAGGGGAAAGTGGCGTAATGAGTTTCCTTTTATATTTGAAGATGAAAAAATATACAAAATATCTCGGTATGTTCTTGTCCAAGCCAAACTAACCAAATTGTCTTTAATTCGAGTGAGATTACTACTTTTGCATTTAATATAATTGCTACTATTTATTCTGTACAACCTTGATTCATGTTTTTAAACGACAATTGTGATATAATATAGTTTGAAGTGTGGCTTTTGGGGTTTCTGTTGCTCATGTGTGTGTTTTATGTTTGTGTTCAGATGTTATTTGCAAAAGCGTGTACTCAATTCCTCAAAAGGTCCCGCAGTTCGTGCTTTACGTGCCCAGACTGATAAAAGGGAATATGCCATGCTAATGAAAAATGTAGTAGAAAGGCAAGTTCATGTTCATAATTTCCTCCCTTCCCTTTACTTATAGACTCTGGTATCTATTTTTTGCTGTGCTCATCTTTTGCATGTGATCTATAATAGTCACTTAGTGGTGAAAGTTGAACCAAAATTTTGACCGGGATAAACTAATGGTAGTAAAATAAAAATATGATTAATAGATTTTGATGTGTTACAATACCCTAGACTAACACTCATATTATACGTATACTAATAATTAGGTCAGCTGCTAATACTGTAGTACTACGAGTCCAAGCCCACCAATTATAAGATTAGTTTTATAATTGGTTTCATTTCTTTAACCTTAACATACATGATAAGAGATATTGCCTTATAACTTGAAAGTTGGTAAGAAGCATCAAACCGAGTGTTGGGAATAGCAGTTTGAACTATAAGTCCTCGACTTCTTCAGGTCTTCATTGGCTGTGTGCAGTCTTCTATCACATGATTTATGCATCTTCTCTTGTACATTACTTCTCATTATTTTTTTTTACTATGTTTTCTGCAGTACTCCAAACCTCTCTATTCGAGAGGCTATGGTCACTGATATCTTACTGGGAAAGAATGACAATGTGGAAGGTGTTAGCACATTTTTCGGAATGAACTTCTATGCTCCGTCTGTCATTCTCACAACAGGAACTTTTATGAGTGGTAAAATTTGGGTTGGTAGAACTTCTATGCCCGCAGGAAGAGCTGGCGAGTCCGCTTCTCATGGATTAACTGAGAACTTACAGCAACTTGGTTTTGAAACTGATCGGTTGAAAACCGGAACTCCAGCCCGAGTGGATATTCGCACTGTAGATTTCTCTGGATTAGAACCTCAACATGGAGATGAAGAGGTTCTCCCATTTAATTTTATATGTAGGTTCATTATATTTAATTCTATACAAATCAAGTTTATGATTTTTGGTTTTAAATAGTTTTGTTTGCACTCATTGTATGTGCCATTGTCAGTTTTCTACTTATGCCAGTCTCTTAGTAACTTTCTTACAACTAAAATGCCTTAGTAATTCACCACCTGGACTGGAGAATTATGTCCACCATCTATCAGTTGTGCAAGTTCGAAGACATTTCTTAAGCCAATTTTATCATTGCTTTGTATGATAATTCTATGCAATCATTTTGTTTCCGTAGTCCCATCGAATTATGATGTGATAAATAGAATATATTTTTGCTTTTGCACCAGTCTGAGAATGATAATGTTTTTCTGCATTTAGTCTGTTTGTAAAAGCTTTTACCCTGTAACTCAGAGATAGTGTTTCCTCAGTATATCTTCATAATTGGCAGGTCAGCTGGTTTAGTTTCGATCCTGATGTCCATATTGAAAGAGAACAGATGTGCTGCTACCTAACTCGTACTACTAGTACTACTCACCAGATAATTAGAGATAACTTGCATGAAACACCCACGTATGGAGGGTGGGTTGAAGCCAAAGGACCTAGATACTGCCCTTCCATAGAAGATAAGGTGTGTTTCAACAATATTTATGCATCATATTTTAAAAAGTTAACTTGGTTTAGTTTAGGGAGCATTTGGAAGAGTTTATTTGGGATTATCTCATGGCATAAACATGTGTTTAAGTATTCAAAAGAGTTTAATTCCTTATGATATGTTCATAAGTGTTTTTTAGCTTGTTTCAATAAGTTCTTCAAGATAGCTTGTTGACAACTTATGTGTCTACCCCCCTTTAATTTCCATCCATCACATATTCTATCCTTACAGTAAAAACAAAAGTTGAAAAGCTATTGTATGATAAACACTTAGTTAAGCTATTTACTCAAAAATCCCTTTACAGAATTAGGAATACTCTCGGTCCAAACCTGAACCTTTTAGAAAAGGTGTGATCTGAAGCATGTGATTAATTATATTGAAATTGTGCATTGTTATATATTGTTCACGTTTTAGATTGTAAGATTCCAAGATAAAGAATCTCATCAAGTATTTCTTGAACCGGAGGGTCGAGACGTGCCTGAGCTCTATGTGCAAGTAAGTTGTATGTATATTTTTTCTTTCTTGTCTGAAATCCAAATGAACCTTGTTAATAATTTTTCATTTTTCCCTTGGGGTATAATATTATGGTGAAAGTTCATACGAAAATCAACAAAATAATATTTATGAGAAAAAAATTGCCATCAGTCACAAAAGGGGTTATAATTGCAACAAGTTTATGTACCTGTTTTAAGACATAGTGATGCATGGACTTTAGACATTAGAAGCATCTTGCTTATGAAGTATGAGCAAGATCCTAATTATGTCATATCCTTGTTTAACCTTGATAAACTTTTAGATATTTTGAGTATTAAGGTTAAACTTGAGTATTTATGAGACAACAAAGAGGTGAAAAACAGAGTTTTATTTTCTTGCCTGATGGAACAAGGATGTCATTTGGTTAATTGAAGCAAGTTGATGGAAGAAAGACATTTTATCAAGCTAAGTCAAAATATATATATTTGAAGCTCAATGAAAGGTGAATTTAGGGTCAAAGTTTATAAAATGGTCAAAGTTCATAAAATAAATTTGCCTCTCTCTGCCATGTAATTTGGGTGGTGGGAGGGGGATTCATGGCTTATAAATATCACCTATTTTTTATCTTGATAAGGAGAGAATGTCCTATCTTCTAGTTCTAACTTCTTACTCTTCTATGGCATAGGGGTTCTCTACTGGTTTGCCTGAGAAACTACAGTTGCCTCTGCTGAGAACGTTACCAGGACTTGAGAACTGTTCAATGTTGAGGCCTGCATATGCTGTGGAGTATGATTATTTACCTGCTCATCAATGTTCTAGGTCTCTTATGACTAAGAAAATACAAGGATTGTTCTTCTCTGGTCAGATAAATGGAACTACGGGTTATGAAGAAGCCGCAGCGCAGGTATTCTGTCAACTTTCATTTGTGCCTATATAAGTTAAAAATCTGAGTTGTTTTTTCTTTTGGTGTGTTCCATAACGGGGAATTAATTAAGCTCTTATTATTTATGTTTTCTTCCTGCTAATTTAGTAAGCCTTTTTATTACAATCTACTCTTTTTCATCCTCTAGGGCATTATATCGGGTGTCAATGCTGCTAGACACGCAGATGGTAAATCACTCATTATTCTTGAGAGGGAAAGCAGTTACATAGGAACATTAATTGATGATCTAGTCACCAAGGACCTGCGAGAGCCTTACCGGATGTTAACAAGGTACGCTAGCTTCAATTGCAACATTTCTTCTTATGCATGTATGCTTTTTCATTCCATTTCTCATTTCTTGATAATAACAACTCAATATTTTCTTGATATTTAGCCGCTCAGAGCATCGGTTACTCTTGAGATCTGATAATGCTGATAGCCGTCTCACTCCTTTGGGTCTAGAAATTGGGTTGATAGATGATAGGCGTTGGAAACTGTTCCAGGAGAAGCAGGTTCGGATATGTGAGGAAAAGAAGCGATTGAAAAGTGTCAAGATTTCAGGTTTGTTTGTCTACCAAGCTCGTGTGGCAACTAATTTTGAGAGTTGTTCCTTTGGGAAAAGTTAGCCGGTGCCTCTTTGCCCTCTTTTAATCAAATACGATTGTTGACCTTGCTTTTGTTAAATCCCGTTGTTTTAAAGATTACTTTCGTTGATACATCAAAACAAAAATTAACACTTTTTTATTACAATGTTTTATAGTAATTTTAAATAATTGACACAACAGTCCCCCCTCCACCCTTCTGTGGGTCCTCTCACCTCTGTTTTCCCTGTAGTCTGTAGCTAACAGATGGTAGTACCGGTAATAGAATAATGTAGTAAATAGTAGATTATTGTAATGTTGTAATGCGGTGAGAGTGAGAGCTAGTGATGAAAAGCTGAGGAGAAATTGTGAATATTTCTCTGTATTCTGAATTGAATGAAGAAAAAGAGTACAAGTATATATACACCTAGACTAGATTCAATTGTAATTTTAACAAAAAATTGAGACTGTTAGTAACAGAATCTAACTAACCGATAAGCTACTTGAAGCTTTCTAGATTATCTACAATAAGCTACTCAACTCAATACAAAAGTTAAGCTAGAAGTACAACATTAAGGAATAAGCTACAAGTCACCAATACAGGTTACTTTTATATGCGACATGGAAACGTGGTATTCAAGTATTACAGTGGAAACTACTGGTATATTTAGTCTAGCGGATCATCCATGCTATTGTGAAGTAGAAATCTAAATTTTTTGTGATTACTGTTATCCGGTCTCTTGGCAGCACACATCTTTTTATCCAGTAGGACCTAAAAAAGTTTTATTTGATTTTGTATCATCTATTGCTATTGACCTAAATTTTCTCATCAGGAGGAGATTTGGCTGCTGAAGTTACTCACATGTCTGCTCAGCCTGTGAAACACTCTTCAACATTGGAAAATCTACTTAAGAAACCACACATTCATTATGGACTTTTTGATAAGCATGGTTTTGGTGACAAGAATTTATCAAGAATAGAAAAAGAATGTGTTGAAATTGATATCAAGTATGAAGGTTTCATCTTGCGTCAGCAAAGCCAACTTCAACAGGTATGTTGATATACATGTCAACGGGAGCAAATGCTCATCCCTCTGTCCATATCATTATCCTATATCATTACCTTGTTTGCACATTGTAGAACTTCAAAGGTGTATTTAATGTCAAATCTCATTGTTGTGTTGGATTTACCTATAGATGGTCACTCAACAGCATAAACCACTTCCGGAAGACTTGGATTACTATGCAATGATGAATTTGTCTCTTGAAGCTCGGGAAAAACTTTCCAAGGTATGTAGCATATTTATCAAAATAGACATTGTGATCATTACAAGTAGGGATGGTAAAAACCGAAATGCAACCTTTGGATCCACAAATAAACTTTACGATTTTAGTAATGACCAAAAAAAAGGCAATGATAAATCATGAAAACAAAATATTATGTTAATTAAACCTTCGATATCTAGTTGATATTGAATCCCTCGAAAGAAATGTTAAAATGTTGATTGTTTCCGCATCTATTGAATACCCGGGTTCTACAATGTTAGCCTAATCTATATTATGAAATTGTTATTAAGAACATCTACCCAACTAACTAAGCCCTTCAATCCCTTCAATTTGTACAACAAATAGCCATATTTAAGCAACTCTATATTACAACTTATTTTCAAAGACTTGATAAAAAATTTCAATGATTTTAGGTTAGGCCTCAAACCATTGGTCAGGCGAGCAGAGTAGGTGGAGTGAGCCCTGCCGATATCACTGCTCTACTCATTGAACTCGAAGCCAAGAGGAGGAAAGCTCAAGGACGGAGAATGTACAAAATGATAAATGCAATGCAAGCTAATACCCAAGATGAGGAGCCTGAAGTTTCTTTGACTGAAACAACTAGATCTGGATAAATTTTTATGACCATTTTATTGATTTTGATATTTATCAGTGCCTATGAATCTCAATGATATAGAAGCTAAGAAATCATAGATGAATAGCTCGACAGAGAGGATGGAGAGGAAAAGGAACTGTTTGTAGTGATTTGTTACTTCATTTGCCATTTTGTTTAACTGATTAAAGTTAATCAAATGTGAAATTTGCGGCATATAATTAATTATTAAAAAAAGACATTAATACTTTATTAATGTTAGAAGAAAGATTTACGTGATATTCTTTTAACTGATAGCATATAAATTTTAAAGATACGGGCTTATATTTTATTTATTTATCTAGATTTTTATTTTTTTGTAATATTTAGATTTCAGCCATTGTCTTTAGGGATGGATCTCATAGAAATTTGCACTCTTGAATTTAAATTTTAATAATTTATGCCTAATACTTATTAGGGGTTGTAAAATGGATGAATTGGATGAATTGGATGAATTGGATAAATACAAAAAATATAAAAAAATTTAAATAAATTAATTATATTTAAATTAATTTTTTTTAGATGGATGCCTATTAATCTATTACCAATCTATTAAAACTTTCTTAAAAATATCCAATCTATTAATTAAAAATAAAATTTATCCATTTCGTCCATTAATAACATTTTATTAGATGAATATTCATCCATCTAAAAAAAATTAATTTAAATATAATTAATTTATTTAAATTTTTTTATATTTTTTGTATTTATGAATAAATTTGATTTTTGTGTTTTTGAAAAAAAAACTCCATTTTTTAATTTTCTGTAAAAAACTCGATTTTTTGATTAGTGGGAAAACTCGATTTTTCGAAAAAACTCTGCTTTTTCGATTTTTTTTGAAGAATCTCGGTTTTTCGTATTTCTGAAAAATTTGACTTTTCGATTTTTTTATTTAAAAATGTGATATTTCGATATTCCGAAAAAACTTGAGTTTTTCGATTTTCTAAAAAAAAAAGATTTGCGATTTTCTGGAAAAAAACTCGATACTTCAATTTTTCGAAAAAACTCGATTTTCGTTTTTCTGAAAAAACCCGACTTTTCGTATTTAGGAAAAAAGTTGACTTTCGATTTATCCGAAAAACTCGATATTTTGATTTTTCTGAAAAAACTCGATTTTTCGTATTTCTTAAAAAACTCAATTTTTCGATTTTTCGAGTAAACTCGATTTTATGATTTTTCGAAAAACAACTCGATTTTCGAAAAATAAACCCGATTTTCCAAAACTCAATTTTTCGAACAAACTCGATTTTCCAAAAAAACTTGATTTTTCGAGAAAAAAACTCGATATTTCGATTTTCCATAAAAACTCGATTTTCTCCAAAAAAAACTCTTTTCGTAAAAAAAAAACTTGATTTTTCGATTTTCCAAAATAAATCTATTTTTCAAAAAAATTCAATTTTTCGATTTTTCAAAAAAAATTGACTTTTAAAAAAACTTGATTTTTCGATTTTCTGAAAAAACTCAATTTTCTAAAATTTTGAATAAAATCATTTTCTTTATTTTTGAAAAAATAATCAAATTTTAATTAATCTAAAAAAACAGATTTATTATATTTAAAAAATAATATAAAAATAATCTTTTAAATTATTAAAATATGGTGGATGGATTCAAACCATTATATATATATATATATATATATATATATATATATATATATATATATATATATATATATATATATATATATATATATATATATTTTTACCAGATCAAATTTGGACCGTCACGATTGGCTCCGAGCTGAAGTTGAACGAGATGGGGGTACCTGCAAGGCACTCCGACGCTAAAGTAAGTGACAGTACGAGCAGGCAAGAAAGTGTGTGTATGGTAAAAGAATGAATACCTGACCCTCTGGGAACAAAGGGTATTTATAGCTCCCAGCGCTGGGCCAAGGTCCCTTCATTGGGCCGGACAGGTTTGGCCCAATGAAAGAACTGCCAGGTTCTACGTGTGTAGTGGGGACCCGCACGTGGTCTCCTTCCTGGGTGTTCTGCGAGAAGTACGGGCGGACGGGGACGCGGTCTTTTCGGAATCCACGTGATGGTGTAATGGTCATAGTCTGCCCTACGAGTAGTGCTCGAGCTGAGGTCGAGTTGGACTGCATGAAGTCGAGGATGTCGTGGACACGGCTGTAGCTTCTTGGTCGGCGCGACCCCCTGCAAGGCCGTTTGGATTGGGCCTTCATCCTTGCTTTTGGGCCAGTCCGGCCCAGTCCAGAACAGGAGCCCCCAAGTCGTGGTTCCTGGAGTAGGAGCCATGACTTGATCTTAGCTCGCCTCCGTCACGAGGTCCCGTGCTCGGACAAGAGATTTAGTTCCCCGTGGTTACTCGAGGAGTTTCCCCTGTGTCGCGCTCGTGAGATAATTCCTTTCGAGGAGTGCTCGGGGGACTCTCGACGGGCTGTGTTCGTTGAGCACACGAGGCATCCCTTGGGAACCGTGCCGCCACCCTATCGAAGATAGGATCATCATTGCCTAGGGGAGCTAGGCGTCGAGGAGGGAGGTTCGTGGTTCTCCGGGGTGGCGTTTTGTATTCCACGTCATCACTATAAATAGGGTCCTTGGACCCCAAAATATGTTTTTCCTCTTCGCGCTTCTCCTCCTTCCTCTGTCTCTACTGCTGCTGTTTTTCATAGGACCGCCGTGCTCTCCGCCGCTGATTCTCTTCTCCGTCGCCGTATCTCTTTCCTGATTTCAAGTAAGCGTCTTATCCCTCATGTTTTTCTTCTGTGGCATGTGATATTTTCCATTGTTTTGTACGTTAGAGACTGTGCGTCTGGGATTAGCCCCGGTACATTCGTATTTTGGCTCGGCAAATCCATGTTTATGCCCGGCAAACGTATGTTTGTGCCCGGTAAATGCATAGTTTAGGTATTTGACTCGCAGTGCTGCCCGGGATCTTCATGATTCAGGGCGTCTAATTCGTGATAGTGCCCGGTAAATTCATAGTTCTAGTTTTAGGATTTATGATATCGCTCGCCATGTTCATAGCCTAGGTTGACATATTCGTGACTGGCCGGGATGTTGGCCCATTTAGGCAATCTGTAGGAAGACTTGTCGCGGTATCTGGGCGTTGGGGAGGTGACTCTACTCTTTTGTTTGAAACTTCGACTTTTTAATCGTGTGTGGAGTGTGACTCGATTGGTCGTGCCCTTCTTCCCGTCAGTTATGGCGAGCGTGTGGATTTGCTCCCTAATTGACTGGCTTCCTGTGCTTTGCAGGTAACAATGGCGGATGAACCGTGTTCCTCGGGGCGCAATGAGATGGAAGATCAAAGCGCCGAGGAGAATGTGAATCTGGTCGATACCATCGACGATCCTCTGCTGGAGTGGGTGGGGCCGAGCCCAGAGGTATTGCTTCTGCTTACAGTCGGTGCAGCCGGAGTGCGTATACTATCGTTGAGCAGGGCGGTAGTCAGCCCGACTTTCAGAAAAATTTCATCGTCACCAGACCGACTCTGACTGCGCGGATCTGCTCGGAGTTCCCCGAGTACGGGTTTCCCATGTATGAGATCGCCTTCAAGGACCTTGGACTAAAGCCCCCCTTTAGTGATTTTCAGGTCGGGGTCTTTAGTCATCTGGAACTGGCCCCGTCGCAGCTTCACCCCAACTCGATTGCTTTCCTCCGGGCGTTCGAACTGACGTGTCGCTTTTTAAAGATTGGAGAGTCTTCCATTTACAGCGCCAGTCTCGGGAAGGTAGGCATAGTTGGGTTTCCCTGAAACAGTCGAAGAGACTGTTCAGGATGTATATGGATTCTGTTCGGGGGTTCAAGGACAAATGGTACATCGTGCGGCCGGTTACCAAAACTGGTCTAGAGTCCGTATACGAGGAAGAAACGGTGGTGACCGATGATCACGGGGAGGCTCTTCTAGACGATGAGGGACGCCCGGTGTTGGGGCGTGTGGCCAAATTTCCTTTGCATTGGACCTCGCGTCACTACGAGCACGGGACCGGGCACTACCATACGCTCGCGGGTGGGATGAGTACCGAAGATGAGGAGGCCTATGGTACCCTCTGCAGATACGTCGATAGTTTCTTCCCTGCCCGGTGGGCCACGAGGGAGGGAAAGGATATTCTCGACGAAGATGGTTATCCGACCTTTGAGGCCCGGCCTATCGATACGAAGGCGCTCGTGGAGTGCCAGTCCTTCGGACAGGCCAAGAACCTGTTAGGTCATTACTTTTTTTCATTTTGTTTGATTTTCTTCGCTTGTTTATATGCTCGTCACTAACCTGAGGTTCTTTTATGCAGGTCTCATGGCTGGACGAAAGGAGAGGCTCCTGAAGCTGACACAGGATAAGAAAGTCAATAAGAGAGTGGTGCGAGCTCCTCAGACGACGAGGATGGGCCCACAAACTAGCCCAGACGATGCTTCTAGAGGGTCCCCGGATGCTCAGGATGTTGAGCCGCATATCGACCTGATACCGAGGAAGAGGAACCGGGTGGAGAGCCAACCGGAGGTCGACGAGGACTCTGGTGCGGTGAGGTCCTTCGGGTTTCCCCCTGTTTTAAAGAGGAGGATTTCTTCGAGGGATTTCCCTTGTCCGTAAGCGTTGACGAAGCTGATACCATTAGGCGGCTGAGCAAGGAGAATCAGAGAAAGCATCTGTCCGCCAACATGGTCGGGATGGTCAAAATGGCCGAGATGGCCGTTGTGCTGGCCGAGGAGGGGGCATATTCTGATCGCATCAAGGAGCTGGAACAGGAGAAAGCTGCCCTTACTGCGAGCTCACGAAAGTTGAAGGCTGCCCTGGAGCGCTCCAAGGAGATGTTCCGCGAGCAAGCCGAGCTGCTGACCGTAGAGAAAGAGAATTCGGGGAAGATTGCCGAGGAGAGGGAGTACTTCTGTGAGGACCGAGAACGCTTGGAAAATGACAACGGGCTCCTCGCCAAAGAGGTCGAGGAACTAAAGGCCGCCATGCTCCCTGCCGAGGACGAGTCGGAGGAGACAGCTCCTTTGCGGAGTCGGTCGGAACTGGTTG